AATCAACAAAGTCAAGATGGCGGCCACAACCAAATCAAAGTGCCGCCCCCTGTTTATGTTTATTGTGATGCAGTTTTAAAAGGGGGTGGGCTTTTGGTCAGATGGTTGTGGCTGTCATCTTGAATTTTTTGTTTGACACTCCGACATGGAAGTAAAACAGATTCAACCAAAGTAGATTTTCTTCACGTATATTTTCTCTGTTTCTAGATTTCTGGATCTACCCTGGCGAGAACACCATTGGCCGCTTGGAAAGCTGTCGTGTCTGTTTGCCTGCTAATTCTGTTTCCAAAACGCACGCGATGATCGAGGTGCTCTCTGCCAATGGGCCCCACCTTTTGTACGATCAGGGCAGCTTGAACCGGACTCGGCGTCAGCGGATTACTTTGATCCCTCAGGTCCGCTACAGCCTCCAGGATGGAGACACCTTGCTCTTTGCGGACATGGGATGCCAGTACTTCATCCTGGTCCCGGATACCGATTGCAACTCCCCCAATGACTCCATGGCGGTGCCACCAACCCAGGAAAGAGTGGAGGCCAGTGCGCTAGCCATTGAGGAAACACCTGCACCTGGCAGGAGAATAGGTTGTGGGCAAGTTCTGGTCCAGGACTCCGACAAGGAAGAGGAAGGGGAGGAAGTGATCTATGGGAGAGGAAGCTACCTGCACCACGCCTCAAAAGAGGGTAAGGAAGTCGGTGTTCAGACTGGGGGCTTTATGGACCACAGCGTTTGCTTTGTGACTCCTTGGTTGTAAGATTGGGTCAGTTATATTATTTAGCATATGCTAAACTAATGGGTCGGTCACATGATGATCTGCTTTACAACCGTCACAACTTAAGGCTGTATTTGCCAAGCTCAAGGTACGGTCATAAGTCAAGGACTTATATTTTGAGAGAAGGGCAGCCGTATGTTATTGTTAGTTGCGAAGTCGTATCCGCAAAGTCGTGTCCGATCCATCGCGACTCCTGGACAACATTCCTCCAGGCCTTCCTGTCCTCTACCAATCCCCAGAATCCATGTAAGTTCATGGCAACTGCTTCAGTGACTCCATCCAGCCACCTCTTTCTCTGCCGTCCCCTTCTTCCATTGCCGTCAATCTTTTCCAGCATTAGGGTCTTCTCCAGTGAATCCTTCCTCCTCATGAGGTGGCCAAAGTCTTTGAGTTTCATCTTCAGGATCTGGCTTTCTAAGGAGCAGTCAAGGTTGATTTCCTGACCAGTTTGATCACCTTGCAGTCCAAGGGACTTGCAGGCAGCCAAATACAATGATTCAAATTAATTTTTAACCAAAAAAGATGCTGTTTACACCAATCAACATGCATTTTTCCCAATAACATTAAGAAACGTATAGAAAGGCAGTTGATATGGGATGAAATTTTCCTGTGGAATATTTTCTGGCATTTCCTCCCCTCCCCCCCCCACCGCTTTTTGAACATTGTTAAAGTGAAAATAATAGAAAATGCCTTAATGCTGATATTTCTTATCTCCATCTTTATCAACAGAGTCTGGTTGTTCTAACAAAAACGGCACAGGAGAAGGACAAGCGAGTTTGGCTTCCTTTGCTGTCTTCTCTCCTTCAACTACAGTGGTGCCTGAAAGGTAGGTCATCATGTCACAAATTCCTTGGGGTTCAAACTGGAATATTTCTGCATTTTTCAAAAGGAGTGTAAGGCAAGAGTCATGCATTATGTTCAATGATGGTTTGTTACAACCATTATTTAGGGACCAAATAGCAGTTGGTTGGGTTCACACAACGCACTTGAACAAAGAACATGGAATAACAGGTTGGAAGGGAAATTAGAACTCTTCTAATCCAACCCCCCTGCTTGAAGCAGGAGACCGTAGACCCGTGATGGCGAACCCATGGCACGCGTGCTGCAGGCGGCACGCAGAGCCATTTGTACAGGCACACGAACCCCAGCCAAACTTCCCTGCACTGCGCATGCGCGTGCCTCCCAGCTGAATTTCGGCTCGTTTTGAGGCTGTTTTCGCCCTCCAGGAGGCTTCTGCAGCCTCGGGAGGCCAAAAAATGGGCCTTCCGGAAATACTGGACGTGCCAAAACGGGCCTGTTTTTGGCCTCCCGAGGCTCTAGAAGCTTCCCTCGAGTGTCCAGGAGGGCGAAAACGGCCTCAAACAGGGAGAAAATCAGCTGGGAGGCATGCAAAGTGCAAGTAAGGGGGCGGGGTGTGTGTTGCGTGCGCATGCGCGGGGGGGAAGGAGCCGCATTGCATTGTGTGTACCCGTGTGTGCTGTCGTTTTGGCACACCACCACAAAAAGGTTCGCCATCACTACCTTATACCATTTACACAAAATAGGTGTCCAATTTCTTTTTAAATGCCTCCGGTGTTGGAGCATCCACAACCTCTGGAGGCAAGCCAGAATTGCTTTCACTATCAGGAGTTTTCTCCTCAGTAGTATGCAGGTTTACCAGTTAAAGTGGTTTGATTGAGAGAAGAGGCTAAAATTTAAGCCTGACAAAGCACATTACAACTTAGCATGTTGTGAACATGCCCTGAGTCTATTGTGGGGAGAGTTAGATTAATCTGTGGAAGGATTAATCCACATCTCTCCAGGGTTATTACATCGTGGCATTTTTCTTTTAACTTCCTTTGTAGTACCGGTAGTCCTCGACTTGCAACAGCTCATTTAGTGACCGTTCAAAATTACAACGGCTCTGAAAAAAAGTGACTTATGATGACCGTTTTTCGCACACCATGGCCGTCGCAAGCACCCCCATAATCACGCGATCAAAATTTGGATGCTTTGCAAACAGACTTATATTTATGACGGTTGCAGCAGTGTCCTGGGGTCATGTGATCCGCTTTTGCGACCTTGCGAAAAGTCGTAAAATGGGGCAAACAGTGTTTCACTCAGTCGCCTAAATTTTGGGCTCAAATGTGGTTGTAAACCGAGGACTACCTGTATGTTTTTGATTAAGACATGTGAGGATGGGCGGTGTGTGACTCTCTGGGTGTTAATTTTCAAGAGACACCCCCCGCTCTGAGGGAGATGGGTGGTTTGGAAAAAGAAAATATTAATAAAATAAATAAGGGCTATGCCAGTGATGGTAAACCTTTTTGTTGTGGTGTACCGAAAGTGCGCACAGGCCGGCACCCACAATGCAATGTGCCCTCCCGTGCATATTGCGCACAACACCCCCACCCCCACCCCTTTACCTGCACTGCGCATGTGCATGCCTCCCAGCTGATTTTCAGGAGGCTGAAAAACAGACTTTCTGGAAATACCGGAAGTGCCCGTTTTCAAATTCCGGAGGGCCTCTGGAGCCCGGGGGAGGCCATTTTCGCCCTCCCGGAGGCTCAAATTTCCGAAAGTCCCGTTTTTCTGCCTCCAAGGGCTGCAGAGGCTTTCCTCAAGCCCCGGGAGGGCAAAAATGGCTTCCCCCAGGCTCCAGAAACCCTCTGGAGGCTGAAAACAGGCACTTCCAGTATTTCCTGGCCACCAGGCTGCTTCTTTCCATTTCTTTCTTCTTCTGCTTTTGGCTGCATGCAAGGAAAGCAGCAAGTCTTTCTTTCTCTCCCCCAAAGTCTACCAGAAATGAGTCTTTGGGACCCTGCAAGGCATCCTGCTCCAAGAGGCTGCACCACTCTGGTGGAGTTTGGGAGAGAAAAAGAAAAACCTTTTGCTGCTTTCCTTGCATGAAGCCAAAAGTTTCTCTTTCTCTCTCTCTCTCTCTCTCCCTCTCCCTTTCTCTCTCCTTCCCTCTCTCCCTCCCCCTGAGAACTGAGCTGGAGACGGTAATCCTGTGATCCCAAATAAAGAATAATTGATCGGTAGGAAAATGGGGTGGGGAATTTTCCTGCAGACTTCTTTTGGGATTTCCTGCTGCTTTTTCTGCAGAGACCCTGGGAAAATCCCCCCAAAAGTCTGCAGGAAAGTTCCTTACCCTGTTTTCCTACCGATGGGTCGTTCTTTATTTGGGATCGCAGGATACCGTCTCTCCCCCACACCCGAGAATGGAGCTGAAAAGCAGGTTAGGAATGTGGCCTTGGAGGGGGTGGGGATGTGTGAGGGATCTCTCTGTGTGTTTGTGTGTGTGCACATGCGAGAGAGGGAGGGAGGGAGGGAGGGAGAGGGAGAGAACATCACCACCAGCCCTCTGAGGTTAGATTCCCCCCCCCCAACATCAGCAAGCCACCGTCACTCAAAATTCGTATTAGTGGTCCGCAGGGTTTAAAATTATGAGTTTGGTGGTCTGTGAGGTACAAAAGGTTGGCAACCCCTGCTTTAAAAGATTGTAACTAAAATACCAGAGCTTTTTACCACGAATATATTTAATTGGAGAACGTGAATGATGACAACCAACCCGTGAACGAGCTCAATTGGAGAATCTGGTTTATGACACACCCAGGGGGGAGGGGGGAAAAAGGGTCACAGGTGACTGTAAATTACACATGCCAGAGTTGGCTTCATACACGGCAGTGCCAGTATGTTGTCTCTAATGAATCCTTTGAAGCTTTTTGAAGTTTGGCTCCAGAATCATGATTTAATGAGGGCAATTGCTGGAATCCTGACAATCAGCTTCAGTGATCTTCTCACAAGCAGAGTCAAGGGGGAAGCCAGATTCACTTAACAACTAAATGTCTGTTGAGATTCTCAGTCATCCAGGTCATGGTTGTCCCAAAGGTGCTTTTTTTCAAGAGGCAAAGTCCAGTTTTCCACTTTTTCAGAAAGTCCAGTTGCCTCTTGAAAAAAAGATTTAGTTTAGGATACTAAACTTAACAATTGTATTGATTCATTTAACAACTGTGGCAAGAAAGGTTGTAAAATGGGACAAAACTCACTTAACAACAGACCTGCTTAGCAATGGGGTTTTGGGACTCAGTTGTGGTCATAAGTCGAGGACTGCTTGTACGTTAGAATCTCTTCCGTTGTGGAAGGCAGTCAGTGAAGAATCTGGTAAGGAAATACCTCGTAAATAATTACTGGGTTGTGGCTGCCTCGTAGGTAATTAAATGATACTCAATGGATAACCAAGTGCAGAAAGATTTGAAATCTATAGTGCTGAATTAGCTATAGACTTTGCTGGTAGAAGTTGTGATGATGGCAGCCAGTTTAGATACCTTTAAAGAGGATTGGGAAAAGTTGAAGGAGGATTAAGTTATCAGTGGCTTATTTATGGCTGTTTACAGCCTCCGGAACCAGAGGGAGCCGGTCTTTAAGGTAGTTTACTAGGTAGCAACAGCAGATGGGAACTTTTGCCCTCCAGTCACAGCTTGGGAGCATCTTTAGTGCATCCAGATGGTGTCAACATGACCAGGTAGCCAGACAGAAAACATGGCCAGATAAGCTTATTCTGCTTCGTTGTATTGGGAGGTGCGATGGCTCAGTGATTAAAGACAAAGATGATCAAAGACAATTAAATTGTCAGGTGGAAAGCTGGCATCCCGGGCTCGAGCGCCGATGGCTAATGGGGTGAGCTCTCGTTCCTGACCACCCTGCAATGTGGTCGGATCTGGCCTGCGGGGCAGTCCTGGTCTACCCAATGCGAAGAGGAAAGATCGGGCTAACGTGGCTTCGGCCTAGTCTACCCAATCCAAAGAAAAAACAAGCCAGCAGTTTGGGGAGTGGTACCAAGCTGGCTGTGCCCATCCAGTTGGATACACTCGCCCAGTTAGACTGCCCCCCCCCCCCGAGGTCAACCCCAACCTTGATGCGGCCCTCAATGAAATTGAGTTTGACACCCCCGACCTAGCAATTCTAAGGCATGTAAATGCGAGTAGATAAATAGGTCCCAGTTTGGTAGGAAGGAAACAGCGCTCTTGTGTGCTGCAGTCATGCCAGCCACATCGCCAAGTAAGTGTCCTCAGGCAAAGCTGTCTCCCTCGACAAAAGAACAGTGATGAGCACTGCCCCCTAGGGCCTGGAGTCTTTACCTACACCTTTACTTTATTGCAAAACTACATTAGCAGAATCTAGCAAGTCTGAACGTACAGTTCTCCCACCATCCACTTTACAGTCTGAGAAACTACTAGGCCCATTTGGAGCTTCTTACCCCATCAGTTGTGGGTTATATTGTCTCTTATCCGTCCATTCCCTAGGCAGCATCTCTTCCTCCTGTCTCTTGAAAAAAAGAAATGGGAAAAAAGCACCTTTGGGACAATAGTTGCTCCGAGTGTTGTATACCAGCAGAAGTATTTCAAATCAAATATATAAAATATTTATACTCCATGCAGGGAACAGGTGGTATCTTAGAAAAAGTATCTGTCTTTACATCATCAGCAGGATGGAGATCTTGATATTTTAGTCCCTATTAAAAACAAATGAAACACTTTTTTTAAAACACACATCTCAAAAGTGTTTTGGACACTTATTTAACTGTTTAAAATATGGGATACCAGGTATTGTAGTTTACCTCATCAAACGGATATCAGATTGGGAGTAGAGCTCAATTAATACAGGTTGTCCTTGACGTATGACTGTTCACTTAAAACCAGTTTGAAGTTGCTGAAAAATGTGATGTCTAACTCATTCTCAAAGTTATGAGGGTTGTACTGCCCCCATGGTCACGTGATTGTGGTTTGGGTGCTTGGTGACTGGCTCACACGACAATTACAGCTCCCTGTGGACATTGTGATTTGTGACCGTTCCAGCCAGCTTCCAACCAAGACAGTGGGGAAGTTGGGTTTGCTTAATAACTGCAGCGATTATCTTAATGACTGCAAGAAAAGGCATAAAATTGAGAGTAGTCCTGTGACACTTGGCTTAATGATCTCAATGCTTATTGATACATTTTTCTGGTCCCAGTTGTGGTTATAAGAGTCATGGTAGCGCAGTGGTTAGAATGCAGTATTGCATGCTAACTCTGCTCACTGCCAGAAGTTCGATCCTGACCAGCTCAGGGTTGACTCAGCCTTCCATCCTTCCGAGGTAGGTAAAATGAGGACCCAGATTGTTGGGGGGCAATATTCTGACTCTGTAATCCACTTAGAGAGGGCTGTGAAGCACTATAAAGCGGTATATAAGTCTAAGAGCTATTGCTATAAGTTGAGGACTACCTGTATTTTTCTTATTAGGAGAATAGTTCTAGATAGCAATGTAGACAACTTCAGTTAATTACTGCGAGCTTAAATTGTTCTGCTTTCTTTTTGTTTCTCAAGCGATGATGAAAACGGAGACCCTTCAGTCGTTGGCCCACCCTGCCCTGCTCTGCGCCTTTCCTTTGAGAGCCAAGATGCTGGACGGACCCCCATAGAAAATGGTGGTAGTGGTCCTTCCTCCAACAGAGAAGACTGTGGAGAGCCCACAACTAAAGAGGGGGGAGCTTCTGCAGAACATGGCCTGGTGGAAGGCTTTCATTTGGACAGCGATACAGATGTAGAGGATGAAAACCAAATGGATTGCATCTCTGAAGCACCTGCAAAAAGGGACAGGGGCCCAGAAGTGGACCCTGACTCTGATCTGAATGAGTCTTCAGTGGTGGCTCCAGCGGCCTGTTGTCCCCAAACCTCAATGGAGCTTGGCAGCGATACGGATGCGGAGGAGACCATCGAAAGCCCAGCTGTCTTCAGATTGAAGCTCCCCTCTAATTCTATGGAAAAAGAAGAGGTCGACACCGATGTGGAAGCAGAAGTGGAAAATCCAAGTGTTGTTTGTCCAAGAAAACATGAGCCTGTTGCAGGTGACTGCAAACGGTTGGAAGACAATGAGGACAATGTCCAACTTGGTGGGAGAAAGGATGATGATAATACAGATGTGGAGGAAGATTTGGATAATCCAGGAAGCGGTGTGAATGCCCCGCTTCCAGCTGCACATGAAGATGTTGACACAGATGTGGAAGACTCATCTGCCAAGGGAGAGACTCCAGGTGGCACCAAGAACCGTGGAGTTGGTAGACACAGTAATGGTGAAGATGTTGACACAGATGTGGAAGACTCATCTGCCAAGGGAGAGACTCCAGGTGGCACCAAGAACCATGGAGTTGGTAGACACAGTAATGGTGAAGATGTTGACACAGATGTGGAAGACTCATCTGTCAAAGGAAAAACTCCAGGTAGGATCAAGAACCGTGGAGTTGGTGGACATGGTGATGGTGAAGATGTTGACACGGATGTGGAAGACTTATCTGCCAAGGGAGAGACTCCAGGTAGGACCAAGAACCGTGGAGTTGATGGACACCGTGATACCGAGGAGGAAGCGATTCAACCCCGGCTGGAGAATTCAGAAGATACTTGCCCTCAGAGGACTTATTCTTCAAGTGGTAAGGAGAGCAGCACGGGCAAGAAAAAGGTCCCCCTCAAGAGGATTGTGCCAGAGGGTCATAGTGTCGGTGAGAGACACAGTGATGTGGTTGGGTTGACAAAAAACTCTGATGTTGAACTTGAGACGAGTTATGAAGTTGGTGACAAATCTCCTAGGGACTTCGACGAGAAGGAGCCCTCGACGAATCTTGCACAACACAACCTGCCCATATTCTTTCTAGGTAGTGATACAGATGAGGAAGAGGAGGCAGGTAATCCAGGTGTGGAATCCAAGAGCCAGCAAGTCTCCGGCGGAGAGTCCAGCAAAGGAAGCAGAGCGAGCCGTTTGCGGGATCCAGATATTGGATCTCGGGGAAAACCTTCATCTGTACAAGACAAGGACAGCGATACGGATGCTGAAGGGACATCCATGGATCGTGATAAATCCACGGCTCAAGACAGTGATACAGACACAGAAGACGTTGCTGCATCTTTACTAAGAAAACCCCTAGAAAAGAAAAGCTCTCGGTTAATCATCCCAGTGACGTCGGAGGCGGAAGGAGAGAAGTTGGCTTCTTCTGCCGTGGGAATTGGAGTGTCCTTCAAATCTCGTGAAGACAATGAAGACACAGATGCAGAGGGAGGGCGATCCTATTCAGCAGACGAGAGCAGCACCGATGGTAAGGAGAAGGGAAGGAAAGAGAGAAGCAAATTTCAAGTATTGTTGTCCCCGTATGTCTATGGAGATTACCAATCACGCAGGTCATGGTTCTCCCAAAGGTGCTTTTTCCAAAAGGCAGCTGGATGTTCTTGGTTTTTTTTTTTCTGTTTGACTTCTCATTTGAGAAGCTTCTCCACTTTTGGCAAGGCAGGGCAAAGCCAAGGCAGTTTTGGCAAGCTAGTCCTGAAGAAGCTTCTTGGATTGCTTCAATTGCGGTCATAACTTGAGGACTACCTGTAGTTAGAAAGGCAGATGTGCACATTACAAAATAATCATTATGTTAATGCATTAATAGTAACATGTCACAATCTTTTGATGTTAAAAAATAACAAATTATGTAATCTGAATTCAGATTATGCAACGAGTTCTTTCGGGATTTAAAGTTAACAAGAAAAAGAGGGAAAAGGAAAGGAAAAATATTTGGAAATGTATACTGTGCACGAAACAACTTCAGATAAATATGCCCAGATCATTCCCTCTGTTGAACAGAGCTTCTCATTCAAAGATTGGCAGGTTCTAGAGATATTTTTTGAGACATTTCATTGTTCAATTGCTTGTTTTCTGCTACTGTCTGGTATGTAGGAAATGCTGTTTGGACTAGTTATCCATCTTTACTCAAGACTAAGCACAAGATGTACATGGTGCATTTCTTTCTACCGTTTCTCTTCTTTCAGATGAGCTTGATGTGTCCTTGCAAGCTACACAGTGTTACCTGCCAACTGAAACCACACCCCCTGGACTTGAAAAAGCTGGAGGTATCACAGCTACAGATGTGTCCTTGCAAGCTACACAGTCTTACCTGCCAACTGAAACCACACCCCCTGGACTTGAAAAAGCTGGAGGTATCACAGCTACAGGTAAGAAACATTGCTATACTTCTGGATCATCAGGAAGAGAAGAGACCTGGTGGCATAAAAGCCAAGACGCTTGGTTCTTGGCTTCGGTGCCAGAAGAACTGATTAGGGCATGATGGGAGCTGTAGTTTAAGGCCCTGTGCAGATCATAGTCTGCTTATGTAGGATTCGTGATCCCAAAGCAAAACCTCATCTTGTATCAGTGGAACAAAATGGACAATAATCATAGTGGTGATCCATGGTTATTGTGAACATGCCATCAATGACAAATAGAAGATTAAAAGGAGAAAGTATATAGGGAGAGGTTTAAACGTCTGGAAATGGGTTTGAGGACGAGAGAAATGGGTAACCTGTTGTGATGGCTCCAGGACTCCCTCTGGATTTTTGATAGAGATGGATTCATAGTGGAAAAGAGTTACCATGTTTCCCCGAAAATAAGACCCTGTCTTATTTTTATTTATTTTTTTTGGCCACCAAAAAAGGCGCAGGTCTTATTTTCGGGGGACGTCATCCACTTGACTAACCTCACTTGCACGTGTCACCTCCGGCCTCCCTTTCGCTGTCAGAGGCCTTCAGGAATTTTTTCTTCTGCAGCTGGCAAGGCTTTCCTGAAGGCCTCTGCAGCGGATAACAGAGCTCTGGATCGCTCCGAAGCTTCGTTATTCGCTACAGAGGCCTTCAGGAAAGCCTTGCTGGCTGCAGAAGAAACGGGCTGGCAAGGCAGGGGTCAGGGTGTGCGACGCCTGGCTACAACTGTCCAAAGATTAGTAGTAGGGCAGCTATACACACACATACCCATCCACACCTTAGCTTAATTTTTACCCGTGCACTCTGAAATGGGCAGGATCTTAATTAGGGCTTATTTTGGGGTGTAGGGCTTATATTGGGCGCATGTGTAAAAATCAAGTTAGGACTTACTTTCAGGGTAGGTCATATTTTTGGGGAAACAGGGTATTAGGCCCCTAGTTAAGGATTTTATACCGACTTTAAGTCAGTTATGGAGGGGAAACTATATATCAGCCCAGCTCTGACCCTGCCTTCATTCATCAAGGCTCTACCTAAATGGTGCTTTCCCCAAAGGTGCTTTTTCAGGAGGCAATTGGACTTTCTTTATTTTTCTTTGAAGACATTTCGCTTCTCATCCTCGTCTTCAAAGAAAAAACAAGGAAGTCCAGTTGCCTTCTGAAAGAGCACCTTTGGGACAACCATGACCTGGATAACTGAGAATCTCTACAGACTTTCCTAAATGGTAGTCTACGAACAATCATTGAGATATAATAAAAGAGAATATTCATAGCTCAGGGTTGACGTGAGGGGTCCTTGGTGCTCTTCATAGCTTGCTTGTTTTCTTGCAGATATTTCATTATCCAAACTAGGTAACATCATTAATGCTGGTCTAGGCATTCGTGCAGGAAGAAAAGTTGTGCCTGCAGGCAGTTTTTTCCCATTTGTGTGCTGTCTGAAGTGTTTGATGCCCATACGTGGCATTAATAAAAGACAATATTTGTAGCTCAGGGTTTATATGACAGTTCTTGGTGCTGTCTTTTAAAAAAAAATATTTAACATTTATACAATTAAAAACAAATATACATACATACATACATTTTCACGGGTACAGGTATGTAGGTCTAGGTGTGTTCGGGTCTTTTCCCGTGTAAGATTAAGAGTATCTTGGTGATGTTTTGGCGAGGTCCCACTCGCCATCCTCAGGCTGGTGCTTTCGGCTTCGTGCCAGGGCAAGCAGTGTGTGATCGGAGCTGCCATCTCTCTATAAATACTGGTGGTGGGGGCTGGTGTGCTGGGCTGGTTGGCTGCGGTGCTGCCTCTTGATTGGTTGATGGAGTTGATGTTGGTATAATGGGCTGTGTGGTGGCCTTGTGAGTTTTGTTGTAGAGATATCCTGGATCTTGTGCTGTAATCTCTTGGGTCGTTTGTTTTGTAGTGATCTTTTTTCCAATAGCCTCTTGTGTTTTAACGGCTTGGGTAATGGGTTGTGTGATGGGTATATATATATTTGTTTTCTTAAGTTTTCGCAGGTATTTATATGTATGGTATTCACCTTTGTTCGGGTATTTTCCCACGTCATTATAGTTGTGCTTTTAAAGTTGTAGCGACGTTTCGGCAGAATCTCATCTGCCATCATCAGGCTTCTATATAGTGTTCGTCTGTGAATCAGACTTTCACAGCCGTTTCTGTTTTAAATTTGGTTGGCCTATGTTTCTGCTCATATGACCAGATCCAGTTTCATGACTCTTATTTTCTAGCGGTCATTAATTCAATGCCACAGTCATTACGTGAACATGGTGATCATTAATACAATTAGTACAAATACAGTAGAACAACTTGTGGGTGCTTCATCACTGGAGGTTTTTAAGAAGAGATTGGAGAACCACATGTCTCAGGTGGTGTATAGCAGGGGATCTTCAAACTTGACAGCTTTAAGACTTGTGGACGTCAACTCCCAGAATTCCTCCTCCAGTCATGTTGGCTCAGGAATTCTGGGAGTCGAAGTCCACAAGTCTTAAACTTGCCAGGTTTGAAGACCCTTGATATACAGGGTGTCCTGCATGAGCAGGGAGGGGGTTGGATCACAAGACCTCCAAGTTCCCTTCCAAGCTCTATTCTGATTGGTTGAAATTGTAGCTGGGTTGCTTCTAATAGACAGGGAGGGAAATGATTGCAACTTGGTACGATAAACACGAAGATCTATCAGCTTCAAGGTTTCCTTCACCTGATTCCCCTTCTAAATAAATATATGGACTCTGGTCCCCATAGTTTCAGCAAGGATTGCTCCTGGCCAGTTTCCAGTCTTTTCAGCTGCTTTCCACCCAAAATGCACATAGGCATACATTAATTTGTGTTGACTGCCACAATCACTTAAAGACTACTGTGGCATTGGGTTAATGACCACTGCAAAATAAAGTCATAAAATCAGGTCTGGTCATGTGGTGCTTTGCCTTATGACCATCATGACTTACCATGGAAATTCTAGATTCCATCACATTGGAGATCAAGGCAATTGTAGCCCAGGAAGGACATCAGAGCAGGGAAGTCCTGCTTAAGTCTTAAGAGCAAATGAAGACAATATGTCTCTACTCATTGTCCTCCTAGTAACCAGCTCACCTTTGAAAGACAACACCTCTGACCAAGAAGATGACATCCTGGAAGCTACCCAGCCATACTGTGAGGCGTCTGAGCAAGTCTCAACAGAGCCCCGTGAGGCCTTGGCTGGCAAAGAGAAGGCGGACCCAGAACGGCTTATCCAGAACCAACCCGAAGGGGACAAATCTTTTGAGCAGGTGTCTCAGCCTGACCTCCCAGCTGCAGCCTCTCTAGGAGAAGAAACCACCTCCAGTCTTCCAGGAGACAACCCTCTGCCTCAGGTGGTGGAGTTTCCCTCTCTGCAGTCCTCCTTGCAGACACCAGAGGGCGCCCCAGAAGAGGAAGCTCAAATCCCCCTTGTGGTCAGCAAGGGGTCCTTGACTTCACAGGAAAAGAAAAGGGTGGAGGTCCCGAGACAGAGTGAGGCAAGTGAGTGGCAGCATGTGAAAAATTGTCATAAAGGGAATGAATGGATTATGGTTCTCACTGCTGCAATGTGTCATGGAGGCTGCAATGCATATGGGGGAATCTTTGTGGAGCCTGTTTTCTTTCTTTACTTACTTACTTACAAATGCCATTCCTTATAGTTTGGCTCTGAAAAAAGAAGTCCCTGTGGATTTTACTTTGTTAATCTTTGCCAACTATACTGGGCAGTGCTCATCTCTGTTTCAATGCCATTGAGCCATTGCTATCTGAAGGCATTCCCATGTCATGTGGCCAGCATGACACCACGGAGCGCTGTTACCTTCCCACCGAAGGGGTACCTATTTATCTACTTGCATTTTGTATGCTTTGAAACTGTTAGGCTGGCCAGAGATGGGGAGAGGAAGGGAACTCACCCCTTTGCATGGAGCTTGGATCTCGAACCCGGGCTGCTGGCTTTCCAGCCTACAAGCCCAACATCTTTTTTATGTTTTGTTTTGTTTTTTGGCAGCAGTAGCAATAGCAATGGCACTTAAGACTTATATACAGCTTCACAGTGCTTTCCAGCCCTCTCTAAGCGGTTTTTACAGAGTCAGCATATTTGCCCCCAACAATCTGGCTCCTCATTTTACCCACCTCAGAGGGATGGAAGGCTGAGTCAACCTTGAGCCTGGTGGGATTTGAACTGCCAAATTGCAGGCAGCCGATAGTCAGCAGAAGTAGCCTGCAGTACTGCACTCTAACCACTGCGCCACTGAGGCTCAGTAGTCAGTAAGCAAAGGCCACAGAGAATGCCACAGTTGTTAAGTGAAAGGATCTGGTTGTTAAGTGAATCCATTGTTTGTATGGGACGGAAACTGGAAAAAAAACCCATTGTAAATGCAGGCTGGTTGCTGGCCGCTCAAAATGGGGTCATGTGACAGGGGCATCGTAACTTCAGCACCTTATAAATAGCCTTTTTGGGGGGGGATCCATTGTAACTTTGAACGGTTGCTAAGCAACCAGTCATAAGCCAGTTATCTGTATATAGGCAAAAACCTCTGGCAGGAAGCCGGGATTATAGTATATTGGTGCGGACTAGAGTTCTATTTCCCATTGGTTTATGTGAGGTGGGGAGCACAGGGCCTGCATTATAGTAAGTCCGTATTTCTGCTCTGCCCCCTGGTGGCAAAATATTGGTGTTTTTCAATCCAGGCTGTTTCATCCTTTGGCTTTTTCTAGCTCCTGTGGATGACCGGGTGGCAGAAAACTCGGAATTAGTAAGAAAAATAAAGAAACCTAAGAAGGTAAGCATCAGATTCGCCTTTACTTATTTAATACCCTGTCTTTATTATTTTTTATAAATAATAAATATTACATATAAAAAAATATAAAACATACATTATGTTAAATATAAATAATAGTTATTTGTTATTATATGATAACTTTCATCCATCGTTGACATCTGACGAGTTGTGGGCTGTCCGTGGTGTGTCTGCATTATATACCAGGGGTGTCAAACTCGAAGGCCCACAGGCCAAATCCAGCCCGCAGGGTGCTTAAATCCGACCCACGGGGCCAGCCTGGAAATAGCAAAGGACCAGCCTGCAGTATCTCTGGCAGCCAAAATGGGGCACAGGAGGGCCGCGCCCCATTTTCAGCCTGGACCCCTCCCCCAGTTCCCCATTTTGGCCGGCAGGATACTGCAGGAGGCAGTATCCGTGGCTGGCCCACGGAGGAGAACTACAATGCTGATTCGGCCCTCGAAGAAATCCAGTTTGACACTCCTGTTATGTATAATACATACATACATACATACATACATACATACATACATACATACATGTTATGTCTCACCTTTACAAAGGAGGTGAGAAGTCCAAATCCCAACTGAATACAAACAAGCAAGCAAATCCAGTAATTATAGAGTTAATTCCTTGAGCCGATAAAGTTCTTGGCAGTCTCACACACACGCTGGCTGCCAAGTCCGACAAGAAAGCAGGAATATAAATCACACAAGCTGTCACAACACAGAATACTCCGGAGCTCCTCTGAATAAGTCACACGTTGTCCCGTACGAAACTCTCAGAGCGAACACACCCACTTTTATTCCCCTGTGGGGTGTGTCAGTCCCTCAGCTCAGTCTCTGATTCGTCCCTTCCTCCTGCGTTGCAGCTCACACTTTTGCCTGCGACGCTGCCTCGCATCAAGCCAGCATTCCTCTGCTTGATTCTCAGTCAGAGACTCTGATACACCCTCCTCCTTTTCCTGATTAGCCTCAGGTCTTCCCTCCCAGTTATCTGCCGACACCTGAGGCACAATCAGGGAGGAAGGCATTGCCGAAGAGGAAGGTCCTGGGGAGGAAGGCATTTCCAAATCCTCCTCTTCCCCATTGTCCGAGTCTTCGTCCTCTAACAATGCAGGCTCAAACCTCAGAGCCACAACACATACATATTTGTATATATCAGCAAGTATTGTGGGCCCGCTTGGCAAAAGAAAGCTCAGGATTGTACTGGTTGGAAATATGCAGAAGAGGCCTTCATCTTACAGTGGATAGACAAAATGATAACGATAATAAATATATAAATTTATTATAGATAATTACAAATGAGTTATTTTATAAATACCACAAGGCAGTGGCACATACCTAATACGCCTCCCTTTTCCTCTTTTCCCCACAACAACAACCACCACCACCTTGTGAGGTGGGTTGGACTGAGGGTGACTGGCATTCTTTCATGAACCAAGGACTGATTTGGTGAAGCTCACCTTCGCGTTTTTCTTAATCTCACGGGGTAGAATAAGATAACCGTGATGACTCTGCGGTTTGTTATGAGAACTCAGCAAACTGTGGCTTGTGCAGGCCCACCCAACCTGGTTAACCGAATCATGGTTTGGCATGATGCCTGAGCTCCTTTTGATACCCTTAGGTGTTGGTGCCAACCCAGGAGGATCCAGCTTCAGCGACGCCCCCTGCCCGTGAGCTGCGGCGCCGCCTGCGATCTTCAACCGCTTCCGCTTCACCCACCCCTGTGCCAGAAAGACGAAGCCTCCGCTCCAGCACCCCGGCTGCCCCAGAGACCAGGTGTAGGCAGCTCAGCAACACAGGTCAGCGAGGGAGGGGCGTAAAGGAGAGACCAGAAGAGCCCGGAGAAGAGGTGCCAAGGAAGAAGGCCAGGAATGGAGACCCCACCGCTGCTCCCACCCCTCAAGGTCGAACGAGGGGCTCCCAGAAGGAACCCAGGGCTGCCAGCAAAGTTGCAGAAGTAGCAAAAGCCATCCCTGGCAGCGCTGGGCCCAGGGAGCCCACGAAACGGGTCAGGAAGGCTCCTGCTCCCGGGCTAGAAGGGCAGGCGGAGCGTCGAAACACTCGGGCCAGCAAGCACTCCAGTAGCAGCACTTCTGTGAGCACCCCAAGCCCCAAGGATTCTGGGAAAGGTGCCAAGCCTGGGCAGGTGGGTATCCAAGCAAAAGAAGGAGAAGCTGCCCTAGGAAAGCTTTCTCCCCTTTCAGGGCAATGGACCCTTAATTGAATCATAAGAAGGACCTTGTCCCTCTCTAGGTCTCGTATATCTACAGCTGCTTAGACGGGTGGATGCTGCTGCTCTGTCACACTTTTTCCATTCAAACTAGGCCCTTGACAGACCTAGCGGGGTCATGCTAGTCAATCATCTTAAATGGGAGGGTCTCCAAAGTTCCACGAACCAATGGGGAGCATCTGTCCCCAACCTGCCTGCCTTCCCTGGTGGGTTGTGACCGCGGCTCCCACAATTCCCAGCTGATGCACCCCTTTTGATATAATGAGCACAGGTGGTCCTCTATTTATGACCACGACAGCCCAAAATTTCTGTTGCTAACAGAAAAGCGAGTTTTGCCCCATTTTGCGACTTTTCTTACCACGGTTGTTAATTCTGTCACGGCGGTTATTAAGTTGGTTACACGGCTGTTAAGCGAATCTGACTTCTCTGTTGGTCAGAAGGTCGCAAAAAGGGGATCAGGACACTGCAACCATCATAAATACGAGTCAGCGGCCAAGCCTCTGAACTGACCCTGGGGGATGGCTCAACGGTCGTTAGGTGTGAAAAATGGTCACTTTTTTTCAGTGCCACTGTAACTTCAGTCACTAAATGAACTGTTGTAAGTCGAGAGCTTCCTGTACACAGCTGCATTAAGCTGAGTCTGGAAAATCGGCAAGCCGGCAGGTCTACGTTAAAATACCTGTTGGTAAAAACGGATTCTAGAAGTCCGGGAGTGAATCCAGTCTGGTAAATCTTGGTTTTGTGAAGCCAACAAACTTGGGGGTGTTAAGGTTCCGCCGGTTACCCTCATTTAAATCATGAGTCTAGAGCCAAACTTCCAAAACTTAAAAAGGATTGATGGGGAGTTAAAATGTCCGGCACTGCCTGAGTGTAGCCGACTCTGAGACACATCATTCATTGTCACCCTTGATCCTGGTTTTCCCCCACCCCCCTGTGTATCATAATTCATATTCTCCAATGGGACACATCCATAGCCAGAGACATCAATCATACTCTCCAGGTAGAATTTTGTGCGGCAGAAACTTCAGTCGCCTAGTTACTATCTTTGAAAACATTTATGGTATGCACTTTCAGTTTGCAAGCTGCCGCACTGCTTCCCCCTCCCTTTCTGCTGGCAACTCTAAAAAGACCATAGAAATATTTTATGAGTTGACATGGGATTGTTGAGCAAGGCCATCTGTCATTGGATTGTGCGACTGCTCAGGCCTCCATACAGGAAGTGAGAGGCGTACTTGGCCAGAGGTTGTGGTCAGAGGTTGTGCTGCTCTTTCACCAAGTCTTCATACAATTGGGGACCGGTGGGCTTTTCCCCTCCTTGTCTTTGCCAGGAACCCGTCTTCACTCCGTCTTCAGGAAGGAGGTTGCGGTGTCACAGCCCAGAGAGCAAAGCAACAAGTCCAAAGGCTTCATCGGACAGTCACACCCGGCGCGCCACTGGACCCGGCAGCCCTGCCCCCAAGGTATGGTGTTGGCGTATTATTATTTTTATTGATTGATTGATTAGCCCTTGGGCCATATCGAAGTGCAGAGTTCCAGAAACAAATTATCACTGAAATTTGACAAAAGCAATTTAAAATGGAATTGGATAAAATACAATTTAAAATGAAATGGGAATAAAATACGATTTAAAATGAAATGGGAATAAAATACGATTTAAAATGAAATGGGAATAAAATACAATCTAAAGATGAAAATGGAACGAAATACAATAATTTAAGATACAGATAAGTAAAACACATAGACTTGAAACAGAGATCTTTTTATTGGGAATCTTACCTGATACACATAGCAAAGATTTGAAATACCTGATTGTAAATGTATTAACAGCGGCTAGGATTGTATTTGCTAAAAACTGGAAAAATGAGAAAATACCATTGCAGGAAAAATTATTAAGAAAATATTGGAATGTGCTGAAATGAGTAGATTGACATTTGAAATTAGAGAACAAGAGGATAAACAATTCTATAAAATTTGGGACCTTTTCTATCAATGGTTGGATGATAAAATACAATAATAGAATATTTAGAATTTTAGATAATAATGAATATATAAAGAGATTTTTTTTCTTTTTTATTTGATATCATATTTATAAAATGTCTTCAGGATAGATTTGGTATGATTATATGATTTGTTATAAAATAAACTAAGTAAATTATAGTTATCTCGCAAAGTATGAATGAATAAAATTATAGTCAAATGATTGTTTAATAGTGATACTAGGGTATATAATTTCTGATTGATAATATGAGTTATTATGTAATGTAACTGTAACTGAGACTACGAAATGGATGCACAAAAATTGGTAAACCAACCGACACACTGTTTGTATATTTATGAAAGAAAGCTGGATGTTTTTATGTTTTGTTTGTTTGTCTTTAAAAACTAATAAAATTGTTTAAAAATTTTTTTTTTTTAAAGATACAGATAAAAGTATGATAAAATTGTATTTCGGTGTCACCCCCTACAATCTACCCCAATCAGCCCCACATATGCAGATCTCAACCGAACTATTTTCCTTAAGTACTGTGCTGCACATTAGGATAGCGGGGGAAGGTTAGAGGCTGGACAAGGGAAGATGGCTTCCCTTGAGCTGTGTTGGCTCCACCGTTAACACGAAAGTTTTGTCTAATCTCTCCCCCTCCCCTTTCTCTTTTCAGGTGCTGTTTACAGGTGTGATTGATGAGGAAGGAGAGCGTGTAGTGGCCGAGTTGGGGGGTTCTCTGGCAGAATCCGTCTTTGACTGCACTCACCTTGTGACGGACCGCGTACGTCGCACCGTCAAGTTTTTGTGTGCCCTGGCTCGGGGAATCCCCATTGTGACGCTCGATTGGCTGGAGAAGGTAATCCGCTTTTCTAATACCCAGAATTACGGTCGTATGTCATGCCAATCGTTCATAGAAATAGCACTTAGGCCTCACGGTGTTTTGCAACGCTCCCTTAAGCGCTTTACAATGTCAGCATGTTGACCCCAACAATCCTAAGACCTCATTTTACCGACCTAGGAAAGAGGGAAAGCCGAGGCAACCTTGATCCAGTCAGGATCGAACTCCAGACTGTGGGCAGAGTTTGCCTCCAATTTTGCATTCTAACCACTGTGCCACCCAGGGCTGTACCACAGGCCCGATTTTACTACCCTTTTTTTGTGACTGTTGTTTAAGCAGATGTGGCGAACACTGCAGTTGTTAACAATTTGTCCACAATTTGTCCTTTGTCCACAATGAGCATATTTTTTATTTTTTTTTGCTAGCAACTGGAAGTAAATTCTGATTTCCAGCAAAACACATTGTACATTGTGGACATTTGTGATTGCGGGATGTTAAAAATGGCTGAAGTACAGGCTGGTTGCAGGGTGCCCGAAATGCAGTCATATGACTGCAGGGTAGAGCAGCTGTTGGAACTTGAAGCTATTGGAATCTGGGTCGTAAGTAGCCCTGGGAGTCTGTTGTAACTTCAGTTACTAAATGACTAGTTGTAAGCCAAGGATTACCTATACTTTTCCACTATTTTTTTTTAATCGATGCAATCCAAACTCCAGCTTAATGCCCTGCAAAGCAACTGCAGGTAGATTTCCGTGAGAAATAAATTGAATGAAGGATTGGTCTCTGCAAGTCCAGTGCACTTCACTCCCAGAGAGGATTCACGATGCTTCTCTGCATGTTCTATTGCTCTGGCTCTGTTTCTACCCATCCTGCTTCGGCTGAGGCCAAGGAATTGCTTTCACACAGGTTATTTTTCCTGATACATATGCACCCGCCTTTTGGAGGAGTCTCCCGAAGGCGATGTAGCAGCATAAAGATGTGTTTCTGGGGGGTGATTCCTAGAACAAAGGAGACATTTGTGTTGTTGGAGGTCTTTCAGAACAGTGACTCATGCAAGAGCACAAGGAGGACACTTCTCTGAAGATGAGCCACTTTATCTTTTTTAAGCGCAAGAGTGCTTCTGAGTTGAATTCGTTGTGTGTTGAGTTGAGTTTGCTTTGGGATGGAATGTATCCCTTAAGGCAGGGGTGTCAAACTCGCAGCCCGCAGGACGGATGTGTCATGCGCTGGCCGCTCCCGTACCCGGTTTAGCAAAAGGGGAGAAAGTCACAATACATCCAGAGGTGGTATTCAACCGGTTCGCACCGGTTCACGCGAACCGGTAGTGATTTGGTGTGGGTCGCTGAACCGGTGGCGACGCCTGGCTGGCCACATCCCTGACCAGGTCGCCCGGTTGCTCACTTGCCCCGGTCACTCTCCTAGCTTTCCCTACCATGTGGCGGTCGTGGCGCAGCTCGGGCGGATGTCTCGGGACTGCTGCACATGCGCACTGCCTGTGTAGCAGCCCTGGGACATCCGCCTGCCCTCCTGGAGCACGTTTTCTTCCTTCCTTCTCCCAGCAGATGCGCCTCTTCTGGCCCGGCCCGGCTCAGCCCAGCCAGGAGGTGGGTGAGCGGATATGCCGGGCGTCCTTGCCCTCCTTGTCGTGAGATGCCTGCAGCTGCTGCGTGCTTTTTTTGGTGCGGCTGCAGTGCAGCAGCCGCACCGAAAAAAGCACACCCTGTTCTGTGTGCCGGGCCCGACAAGTCCGAGCAGCCGGCACATAGAACAGGGCGGCACCGGACTGTTGGAGAAGCAGAGCGAAGCTGGGGATCAGTAGCTGCCTCTTTCGCAGCACAGAAATCTTCCCCGAATCGGCTGGCTGGTCCTTCTCCGCCTGTTTGTTTTGTATGGCTGAGGAAGAGGAGATCAGCTGGCCAAAAGGGCTGCTGTTGGAGGTGACTCTTTTTCGGTCTCCAGTCGCCTTTTCAGCACCGAAATCCTCCCTGAATCGGCCAGCTGGTCTCCTCCTCCTTGGCTATACAAAACAAACAGGTGGAGAAAGAGAAGACTAGCCGGCAGATTTCTTCCTTTCGTCCCCCTGGACCGCTGCCACCCGCGTCCTCCTCCTCCCGGGAGGAAAGGAAGAAAGGCATGGGTGCAGCATGCTTTGGGATCCCGGCTGCCTCCTGTAGCAGCGCCCGCTGCAGCAGTGCCTCCTCCACCCTCCCGACCAGGTGTGTGTGGGTGTGTGTGTGTGAGAGAGAGAGAGAGTAAGAAAGAAAGAGGGAGAGAAAGAAAGAGCAAGAAAGAAAAGAGAAAGAAAGGAAAAAGAAATAGAAAGGGAGGGGAGAGAGAAAAAACTCTGTGCTATTGTTTTTAATTGACAAGGAATGGCTGGGAGGGGGGGGGCCAGGCGAGGCACACCTTGATGTGAGTGACATTGAGTCACCCAGTCACATGGCCACCAGACACTCCCACCGGTCACATGACCAAGCCATGCCCACCACAGTCGCATGGCCACCAAGCCACGTCCACCAAATAAGCCACGCCCACAGAACCGGTAGTAAAAAAAAAATTGAATCCCGCCACTGGATACATCACATGACCATGCCGTGACGATGCGAGTTTGACACCCCTGCCTTGAGGGAAGGGATAGTTCGGTGGAAGTGTGCTAGCTTTGCATCCAGCTACTTCCAAAGATCCTCCAATAGAGGGAAATCTGGGAGCCTCTTGACAGCTAAGAGCTCAACACTAGGACTGCGGACACAGACCTATTGATCAAGGCCGTGATGGTGAACCTATGGCACGCGTGCCATAGGTGACACACAGAGCCATTTGTGCAGGCCAGCAAGCCCCAGCCAAGCTTAACCTGCACTGCGCACGTGCATGCCTCCCAGCTGATTTTCGGTCCGTTTGAGGCTGTTTTCGCTCTCCCGGAGGTTTGAGGGAAGCCTCTGCAGCCTCGGGAGGCCAAAAAACAGGCCTTCCGGAAATACTGGAAGTGCCGAAACGAGCCTGCTTTTTGGCCTCCAAAGGCTGCAGAGACTTCCCTCGAGCCCCCAGGAGAGTGAAAACGGCCTCCCCCAGGCTCCAGAGGCCCCCCCCTGGAGGCTGAAAACGGGCACTTCCAGTATTTCCAGAAGGCCCATTTTTCGGCCTCCTGAGGCCGCAGAGGCTTTTCTCAAGCTTCTGGGATGGTGAAAACGGCCTCAAATGGGCCGAAAATCAGCTGGGAGACACGTGCATGCGCAGTGCGGGTAAGAGGGCAGGGGTGTTGCACGCGCATGCGCATTGCATTGCGGGTGCTGGCGCGCGCAAGCTTTTGGCACACCAAAACAAAAAGGTTCGCCATCACTGGATTAAGGGAATCCAGGTGTTTGGGATGCAGTTTGAAAGGTTTTTTTTTTTTGGTGTGTGTGGAATGCATAGAAATGCATCTGTTGGCCATTGATTAAAAACTACTGCATCCGTATACAAATGCAGCATCCACCAGCAATTCATTAGAATTGCATCTGCGTCGAAATGCAGCAGTATCTGCCCACAACTCCTTCAAAACTACTTCAAGCGTGCTGGGCGCATGCAGCTACCGAAGGGCGATGTGCTGGAAAATCACGAGCCTATGCAGAGGCGCGGCTGCTTTAATGAGCCTCCCCAGCATGGCAGTGTGAATTGCCTCTTCTGCGGCCCTCCCAATGTGTAGCATTGTGTAAATGGTGCGATTTGATGGCTCCGGGTATGAGGTAAACTGCTTTCTGGGAGGAAAGGAAGAACTTCCTGTGTGTGGTTGATCTTCCTTTTTATTCCTCGCTTCTGCCCCACAGAGTAGACGGAATGCTTTTTTCCTGGCACCAAACAACTTTCTCGTTCGGGACCCTGAGCAGGAGAAGAATTTGCGCTTCAGCCTCCTCACCTCACTGCAGAAAGTGCAGCAGAAGGGACCCCTGTTTCAGGTGAGCCCATCGTTTGCGGTCTTAGTGGGCCCAGGTGATTCCTCAAGAATCCAGTATCCAGGCTACCGTGAGGGAGAGTTACCCTCCCCTCCCTCCTAGTTTCCCTCCCCTCTGGTGCTGAAAAGGTCCAGGTGCAAAAAAAAAGCCCCATCCCTGTTTGAATTTCCGATGTTCTAAACTAGGGGTGGGGAATGATGGCCCTTTTATGACTTGGTGGACTTCAACTCCCAGAATTCCTCAGGTTCAGGAATTCTGGGAGTTGAAGTCCACCAAGTCATAAAAGGGCCATCATTCTCCACCTCTGTTCTAAATCAATTTCTCCCCCAGTTTAGTGGCCTCCAGGCCCATGAAACAACAGCTCCATAATCACAAGTCCACACTCTCCCCCACCCATGAACAGGGTATTTGAGGATTGTGGGGAATGTGATTTTGAGTCAACACACCTGTAAGGGGAAGGAAACCAGGCTGTGTGAAAGCTGCAGATTTGGCTTTAGACCCATCAGCTGCCAGCCTGCTGTGATATGATGTTCCTTTCCCTTTTTTTGCCCACATTCCTAACAAATGTGTCCTTGTTTTATGACTGTAACTGAGACCAGAATTACAGTTGTAAGTCATTGTGGTTGTTAAGTGGCTTATACATGATTATACCACTCTATAAAGCCTTAGTAAGACCACACCTAGAGTACTGCATCCAGTTTTGTTCACATTATAAAAAAGATATTGAGACTGTAGGAAAAGTACAGAGAAGAGCCACCAGGATGATTAGGGGACTGGAGGCTAAAACATACGAAGAACGGTCACAGGAACTGGGCTTGGCTAGTCTAGTAAAGAGAAGGACCAGGGGAGACATGATAGCAGTCTTCCAATATCTGAGGGGCTGCCACAGGGAGGAAGGGGTCAAGCTATTTTCTAAAGCACCTGTAGGCCAGACAAGGAATAATGGATGGAAACTGAACAAGGAGAGATTTAACCTGGAAACAAGGAGAAACTTTCTGACAGTGAGAACAATCAACCAATGAAACAGCTTGCCCTCGGAAGTTGTGGGAGCGCCATCACCTGAGGCTTTCAAGAAGAGATTGGACTGCCATTTGTCAGAAATGGTGTAGGGTCTCCCGCTTGGGCAGGGGGTTGGACTAGGTGACCTACAAGGTCCCTTCCAACTCTGATTATCTATTATCTGTTATGACCATACTCGATTGTATATTGTGGCAGTTGCTAAGCCAATGCCACCAAACATGGTGATTGTTAAGCCAAGGCAGTGATCATTAAGCAAATCCAATTTATCCTACTTTTTTTTTGCTGGAAACCATCAAAAAAACAAACAAAAGGACAAAAGTTGTGGTCACGTGACTGCAAGACGCTGCAAATGGCCCCGGCTCCCAAAATATGATCCCATGACCACCAAAGACAAAGGTTTTGTGGCCATCAGAACTTCAAAATCGGGTCATTAAGTCCCTTTGGGGAGGTGGGTGTCTTGTAACTTCAAATGGGCGCTGTGACTGGTCATTAAGTGAGGACCACTTGTAGTAGTTACCTCAGAGTTTCTTTCTTTCCAGGGCTACAAGATTCATGTCACTCCTAACGTGAAGCCAGAACCGGAATACATGAAAGACATCATTAAATGCAGCGGTGGAACCGTATTAGCAAGAATGCCGCGGGCCTTTAAGGTGAGTCGGAGCTGTTGATTTGTGGTTTATTACTGCACCTTGTTATAAGTTAGGCTGAGAGAGGGTGGCTGGCCTAGAATCAAGCAGGAAACTTCCATGGCTGAGGAGGAATGCAACATGGGTCTTCCCACTCCTGGTCCAACACCTTCACTGTGACCCTGGTTTACTTAATTACAGGTCATCCTCAACTTATGCCCACAATTGAACCCAATATTTCTATTGCTAAGGGAGACGGTTGTTAAGTGAGTTTTTCCCCAAACCCTTTATGACCTTCCTTGCCACAGTTACGAAGTAAATCATTGCAGTTAAGAATAGAATTCTTTATTGGCCAAGTGTGATTGGACACACAAGGAATTTGTCTTGGTGCAAATGCTTTCAGTGTACATAAAAGATACATTCCTCAAGGGTCAAGAATCATCAGGTACCACACTAAATAGTCATAGGGTACAATAAGCAATCAAATCATACTAGGATACAGTCCATATAATGGGTGATAAGGAGTGATGAGATTAATAGTAATAGTAGCACAGACTTTGTAAATAGTTGGACAGTGTTGAGGGAATTATTTGTTTAGCAGAGTGATGGGGTTTGGGGAAAAACTGTCCTTGTGTCTAGTTGTTCTGGTGTGCAGTGCTCTATAGCAGGGGTCCCCAACCGCCGGTCCGCGGACCGGTACCGGTCCGCGGAACAAGCCTTACCGGGCCGCTGGTTGCTGGGCGCCGCCATCTTTTTTTGGTAAAAAAAGCAATTTTTCGTCAAAAAAGATGGCGGCGCCAGCGCTTCGGGTGAGCTTTTCCAGGTAGAAAGCCATTTCTACCCGAAAAAGCTCACCAGAAGCGCTGGCGCCGCCATTTTTTTTGACGAAAAATCACTTCCGGTGACATCACCGGAAGTGATTTTTCGTCAAAAAAAGATGGCGGCGCCCAGCTGACGCCGGAACCGGGCCGCGGCGTCGAAAAGGTTGGGGATCCCTGCTCTATAGTGTCGTTTTGAGGGAAGGAGTTTATGTCCGGGATGCGAGGGGTCTGTAAATATTTTCACAGCCCTCTTTTTGACTCGTGCAGAATACAGGTCCTTGATGGAAGACAGGTTGATAGTAATTGTTTTTTCTGCAGCCCTAATTACTCTCTGAAGTCTGTGTCTGTCCTGTTGGGTTGCAGAATCAAATCAGAGTTACAGAGGTGCAGATGACAGACTCAATAATTCCTCTGTAGAACTGGATCATAAGTTAGTTAACACGGTTAAGTGAACATGGCTTCCCCAATTGACTGCTTATTAGGTGTGACCCCGGAACACTATCACCATTATAAATATGAGGCAGTTCCCAAGCATTTAAATTTTGATGCCATGAGTTGCCGACACAGTAGTGTGAAAAAAAGATTGCAAGTAACACTTTTTACAGTGCCATCGTGACTTTGAGCAGTCACTAACTGAATTGTTGTTAGTCGAGGACTACCCCTATCCTGGTTTTCCAGCAGGCAGGCAAATGGAGATGTATTGGGGCTAGAGGTAGTATTCAGTAGGTTCTGACCAGTTCTGGAGAACCGGTAGCGGAAATTTTGAGTAGTTCGGAGAACCCGCATATCCCACCTCTGACTGGCTCTGCCCCCATTTAATTCTCTACCTTCTGAGTCCCAGCTGATTGGCCGGGTCGTTTTTGGTTGCCCTGCACAGGAGAACGGAGCTGGAAAGCAGGTTAGTGGGGTGGGGAGAGAATGGGGATCTTGCAGCAACCTTCCCCTGCCACGCCCACAGAACCGGTAGTAAAAATTTTTGAACCCCAGTGATTGGGGCCATGCAAGAAATGTGCGACTCAACTCTTCGACCGTGAAGGACGACGATCTGACCATTTTTGTGACCTATTTCAGGAGAAATGTGTTGTCGTGTCCTGCCCCGAGGACCTGTCGCGCTGCAAGCCAGCTCAGGAGGCCGGAGTCCCCATCACCAACGCAGAGTTCCTCCTGACGGGTATTCTTCAGCAGGCGGTGAACTTGGAGGCTCACCGCCTGGATGGAAGTGGGGGTCTGTCTCCTGCTTCCAGCCCGCTTGTTCCCTCTACCAGGACCGGCAAGAAGCGGGCAGCAGCCACACGGACGGCCCCAGCTCCCGCCAGCACAGCCAAGAGACGACGCTGATTTTCCACCCCACCCCCCAAGGGCAGCACTGCCTTAACATTGTACATACGGGATTTTTTTTTTTTCTTTTTAATATACCTCTGCCAATAAAAGGGGTATGAAAAGACTTGATGGATTTGGAATGGGGCCTTAGCAGTTGGATTGAGTGCTTAACAGGAGAGAGGGAGGGGAAAAAAATCCTTTCTCCATCAGGTGTGGTTTAATATTTTTTTAGAAATTTTGATTTAAACCGGGGGTGGAGGGAGGAACATCCAACCCTGGCAGCTTTCAAACCTGTAGACTTCCAACTCCTAGGATTCTCTAGCCAGCCATGGTGGCTGGGGAATTCTGGGAATTGATGTCCACAGGTCTTAAAATAACCAAGATTGGACATCCTTGATTTAAATGATTTAATTTCAGAAATTTAAATGTAATGGGCTTATGAAGAATTTAGGCATCAGTGCCTTCTGATTTACAATTATAGCAACCAAAAGGTAGCCCTCTCTCTCTTTTTCTGTTAGGGTGACCCGATGGAATCATAATGCCAAAATAAACAAATGTGCCCTTAAAAAAAATGGCCAGTTAGCTTGAAAGCTGCTAGTTTTGAAACAGCCTGTCAAAGACTGAATTCCAAAAAATGGGCAGAACTGGGGAGCAATTCCTAAAAAAAGAACACAGAAGTTATTTTTTTTTATTAAAAAAGTGTTATTTGTATTTTTTTTTTAATAAAATAGGAATTGAGGTAAAAGATAAAGGTTTCCCTGTCAATTGTATTAGATTCTAGAGAAACCATGGACCAAATCGCTTACTTCTTTGGATCTGAGGTAATCACTAGATTAAACCCCCGCTTCAAACATGACCTTGTTTTGATAGGGGTTTAGCCTTTTTTGTTGGGTTTCTAGTTGAGAAGCAAAAATTTCTGACACCAGGTATTAAATTGGAGCAAGGACATAAGCTTTCCTCACCCCAAATTTTATTTCTGAAGTTCAAGAAGTCTCTGCTATCTTGGGGGTGCATTCCTGAGCTCTAGCATTGGATGTTTGGTATAGAACAAAACACCTGGATCCAAAATTCTGTAAAGATACCGTTTTGACTTATTTCAGGTTTCGGTTGGGTGAATTTCATTTTCTGCCTTTCCAACCCCCTTAATAGATGCTTCAGAGCTGCAATCAGGTGTGTGTGTGTGTGTGTTTAGGATGGATTGCTCAGCAACATGCAAAGTGAATTGACTTCATCTCCCATCAGGATGCATTGGGGAAAATATCTCCACTCAGGTGGAGTGATGGCCCCGCTAAGACTTGTGGACTTCAACTCCCAGAATTCCTGAGCCGGCATTGTTGGTCCAGGAATTCTAGGAGCTGAAATCCACAAGTCATAAAAGGGCCATCATTTCCCACCCTTGCGCTGTAGACTTAACTGGATCTGACCCATTTTTAACATTTCTTTATATCCAGCCTTTATTATTTTTACAAACGTGTTTAATAATTTTATAAATATCAAATCTATTTTCTTGCTCCTCAACTGGGGTCACCAGTCCAGTTTTGGGGGAGTTAGCCGCAGGCAGGCAGACTTTGTAATTCCAAAATGGCGTTAGGTTGGAAAATACGAAAGCTAAACCAAGCAAATCTTATCAGTTTGAAGTTTTATCCCTTGTGTGAAACAAGTCTGTCTGAGGAAACTGAAGTGTAGAGATATACCATAGCCTTTTCCTTATTGAGCTGTCAAGACAATGGACAATTTGAACAGCTCTGAAGGCCTCCAAAATTGCTTAGAAACTCGTAAGTTATATCTAATAATCACAGATCTGCTGACTTAAAAGTGGTCAGCAAAATTAGTTTCCATCTGCCAACCGAAGAATTATGTGTCAAATACTTCTAATTAAAAAATAGGTATACCTGTTTAGTATAATATTCAAATTGCGCGTTTAAAAAAAACAAAACAAGAAAGCCATTGGTGGAACTGGCAGAATCTGAGCAGACAGCAGGTTCAGTCTTTTGTGGTTAATTTTAGTCTCTAAATGAGTATTTCTAAAATGTCCTGCCATTGTAGACTTCTAAATCATCATTTGGAAAATGTAAGGGCCATCTTAGTAAAAGAAGATTGTGAAACATCTGGGTTTTTGTTCCCCAACTCTTTCATCTGCTACGGACAAAGAAGAGATCTATGTCCCATATAACAAATAACATGTTTCTTCTGCATATTTGTACGTGTATTGTCTTTCGTCCTGATTTTCCTTACATGCCCTTGACTGAGTAGACAGTAGAAAAAAATTTTAAACAACAAAAAATCACCAAGAACCATGCTGAAGTATAATTTATCTTTTAGTGTAATTCAGTCACCCGTAAGAAAAACAACAGTGGGGTGGGGGGGGGGGGGAAGACACACAAGCTTCATGAAATTGATTTATGAAAGAACTTACTGTGAGTAAGAGGCAGGTTAAAAAAAACCCAGCTGTTTTATTGCTCTCAAAACGAAAGCAATTTGGAAGACTTGTAAAGTCTTCAACTAGATACCAGAACATTTTAATTAAACAAGCAGAACTCAATCCATTTTAATCGAACAGGGATCTAAATCTTTTCCATTGTCTACAGGACATGTAGGACGGGAGATCTACAAATAGCAAAGAGAAGTTGTCTATTTTGTGCAATGTCGCCAGTCCAGTTTATCTGCCTCCATTTCTTACGTGCCCACTCACAGAATATAATAGGCACGCCTTTGTTGGGAGGCTACAATTGCAATCTTTTCAGTCATTAAGACAGATCTATCTGTGGATTGTCCTTGACTGGATAATCTGCTGGGATGTGGTAGTGTTTTTGATGTATTCTTGAAAGATGGAAAAGATCAGAAAGCTAAAGGCTACAACATCCATTGTAAATGAAGAGGAAGAACATTTGCAAAGCTCTGGGACATTCTAGGCCAGTGTTTCCCAACCTTGGCAACACTGAAGATGTGTGGACTTCAACTCCCAGAATTCTCTAGCCAGGCTAGAATTCACCCAGGTTCCCCATCATGCTGTATGCTTATCGTGGGAACTGATAAGAATTTAAGACAGGTTTAAAATAACTGGTCAAACGACTGCTGGTAGAATTTTTTAAATTGTTTTTATTTGTTGTTCATGTACAAAGAATGAATTTGCTATCTTTATCACTCTCAAACATTGAACCTTTCCTATAATCCCCACAAGGGCCCCCGGAACTTAAGTTTTGTTCAGTTCAATGAATAAAGTCAACCACCGGCAATCTCATACCAACTATGCTAGACTGCTGTTCCTATCATACTATATACAGGTTATCAAACTGGGGGCAATGGTCATTGTAATCCAAACTTCCAGCAGTTTGTTGGAAAGCTCGATCTGTACCAACATAACAGAAGTGCTATTTTTAACCTTCATGTCCCCCTTCCAACCTCTTAATAATCAGCAATAAAGTCCACAGCTCAGAGGATAAATGTTTCTGCGGCTTTGTTTCCTTCATTTGGAAATTGTCTACGCTCGAGAGTCAACATGTGAGCAGACTGTGATGAATTTTAAAACCAACCAAGCAGAAAGCATTTATCTAGCTGCGTTTTCTTTTTTAAACACGTACGAAAATATCCTGCAAGGTAATCAAGAGGGCAAGGTTTTGCATCTAAAAAGACCTACTGAAATAGCTCTTCCCGAACAGCATTTCTGTTCTTCGGGCTAAGGAATCCTGGGATTACGGTGCCGTCTGGGAGTACCTGCCCAAGAAAGGGGAAAGGAAAAATAAGGCATTTTCAGAATAAAAAAGTAATGTAAATTATGTAAGACCGTATTAGTCCATTGGCCAAACCTTCCCATATGCAAGGTCTTCAAAACATGAGGTTTACTCCCACCTCTACTTAGGAAGTGTTTTTGGCAATTTTTGGCCAGAGAAACTGGGACTTGTCGGTGCATCAGGTGTGAGAAGACTTCTGTAGAAGGGACTGAGGCAGTCCTTGACTTACAACCGGTCACACAGAGATTGTTCAAAGTTATGATCTACTATGAGGGCTATTTACAACCCAGACATACAGTTCAGCGGTTGGGGAGCCCCCTGGTGGCCAGACGGCTGAAGTTCAGGTGCTCGGCAACATGACTGCATTTACGACCATTTGCACGACTGTTTTGCAAAGGTTTGGCAGAAAACTGGCACTCATTTCCGTGTTTTGACAAAAACTGAGTCCACAGCAAACCATTCATTTGCTTAACCAAAAAGGTCTGTAAAAGTGGGCCAGTTGCACGACTCACCTGTTTTACAACCATCATGGCAGTCTCCCTTATGGGTCATAAGTCAAGGACTACTTGTTCATTTTCCCATCCCATCTTATTATCTATCATCTCATGTAGGACTGAAGGGCGTAGCACAGGGTCCAGAAACCAGCAGTGCTCTTTTTATGTCTTATTCCACGTAATCTGCCTCCTTTTCTTACGTGCCTCTACATGGGAAGTAAAGGCACGCCTTTGTAGGAGGTAATTTGCAACCAAATCTCACGCATGTTATTTTCTGCTTCAAAACCTCTCACTGAACCTGCTCTGTTTTTTTTGGCGGGAAAGGAGATTAGTCTGGAGTAAAATATTATCCGCGGGTCCGAACTTGTTTCTCAAATCTCTTGTGGAGAGGCCTTCTCCAAAAGGACTGGTCAGGGGGCTTTTGAATCCTTGCTTAATCTCCTTAAGTTGGTTGAAACAGACCATCTTGGGCATTCTTGAGAGTCTACTAGCTCAGTTCTGCTCTTGTCAGAACCCATTCAATGTTTTGTAGCAGGGGTCTCCAACCGTCGAAACTTGAAGACTTGTGGACTTTTAACTCCCAGAATTCCTCAGCTGAGGAATTCTGGGAGTTGAAATCCACAAGTCTTAAAGTCGCCAAGGTCGGAAACCCCTGTTTTATAGCATGAAAGAACTCCAACTTTCAAACAGTATTTAAAAGTTCAACATCACCCTAAGCCCCGATTTGTTGTACCCATCGTTTGTGAGATAAGCCACTAAGACAGAATTCACACATAGCACCAACATACTTTGAATTGTGCCTTCTGGAACATTCCCTCAGAAATGAGGTCAGCTCCAACCCTCCTATGTAAGAGCTTAAGAGACCTGGCTCTGCCAGTTGACTTGGGTGTGGTCTACCTTCTCATCATATTCCCTTCCCTCCCGTCTTTTTTAGCTAGGTTGATTTTATAGTATTTATAGCAATAGCATTTAGACATATATATACCGCTTCACAGTGCTTTTACAAGTCCTCTCTAAGCAAGCTTACAGATTCAGCCTATGGCCCCCAACAATCTGGGTCCTTATTTTACTGACCCCGGAAGGATGGAAGGCTGAGTCAACCATGAGCCTGGTGAGACTTGAACTGCCAAACTGCTGGCAATTAGCGTAATTAGCCTTCAATACTGCATTCTAACCACTGCACCACCACGGCTGTTATTTATAATATTGTATTTATTATATTATTATAAAAATTAACACAGTATTATCTTTTACTATTGTAAGCTGCCCAGACTTATCCCATGGGCAGTTAATGATTTTTACAAATAAATGGAAGTGTGAATCCAATCGGGGATCATCAAATTCTACAGGTAGTCCTCGACTTACGACTGCAACTGAGCCCAAAATTTATCTCAATTGAAACATTTGTTAAGTGTCATTTTACGACCTTTCTTGAAACAACTCTTAAGCGAATCACTGCAGTTGGTAAGTTAGTAACCCAGTTGCTAAGTGAACCTGGCTTCCCCATGGATTTTGCTTGTCAGAAGGTCGCAAAAGGGGATCAGTTAACCCCAGGACACAGCAACGGTCATAAGATAGAACCAGTTGCCAAGCATCTGAATTTTGACCACATGACCACAAGGAACGGTTGTAACTGAAACGGTTGTCCCTTTTTCCAGTGCCACTGTAACTTTGAACAGTTCACTAAATGAACTGTTGTAAGTCAAGGACTTCCTACAACTTATCTTAGGAGAAACAGAATTACCTTCCTGGACGGCTCAGGCAGGACCCCGTAGCACCGTATTTCGAAAGGACCAGATGCAGCACAGATCAATCCCAGGAACGCACGAAGGTGTCCCACCTGAGCAGAAGAGAAAAACCGAGAACGAAGAATTCTGCCTTGGGAGACAAGACTGAGGCTGCAATCCAAGCCATGCTTACAAGCAAAGGAGCCACCTTTACATCAACTGGAACTTACTTCTGAGTAAGCACCTCTTCTGTTGCTAGTCCCTGGTGTGGATGATGATAACCGTAACATTTCTTGAGGAGAAATTTGGTCTTTTTTTGTCTTCTCCTGGCCTTGTTTAGTGATCAACAGACAACGGATCACTCAGCCCAAGGACATCACTTACCCCATTCCAACCGTCCAAATTTTGCACGTAGAGAGAGCGAGCCAACGTTTTGCATGCAGCCTGTGAGCGATGAATCTGCTTACTTGTGCAAAGTGAGTGCAGGGAAAACTCAAGGGGCAACTTTCATGTGGACTTTTCCCTCTGAGGAGATCGGAACAGCACCAAAGATTTGGCCAGGAAGGGTGACACAGCGTGGGGAGAGAGGCTGGCTGCTGCAACAAATTTTAACAACTGAACAACTGCACAACAAATTTTAACAACTGGAAAAAAAAAAGAAAGAAAGAAAGAAACGAGACAAGAGGCATTCATCAGACAGGACTGGGCACTGCAAAAGGAAAGGCAAGAGAGCCATGCACGCGAAATGCTCGTGACAGGGCCTGAACCATTCCCAAGGAGGCGGAATGCAAGGAAGTATCACACTGAAAAGCTTGCCTGTAGGGTATCGACAGGGCTGGCGTGAGGGACACTTAGGCTACACAAAAGCAGAGGCGTTTCTGAAGCAGGTCCTGAGACGGCTGGGGGAGAAGCAAAGGCGTGAGTTTTCCAGCGGGGGCAGGATGGAAACCGGAAGAACATTTCGACAGGGCAGGAAGGAGAAAGACAAAAAGTCAGTGGAAGCGGAAAAGAAGCTCGCGTGCCCGCTGCCATGTTGGGGGTTAGTGTATACCGAAGTCACGGTGGCAAAGAAAAGTAACCCCAGCCGTAGGTTTCCCCATCATTTTGACCCCCGGCCCTTTAGCCGGCTCATGAGAAGCACCGGCCAACTTGGGTTAAGAGGGATTTGAGGTAGCGACCTGTTTCATTTAAGCTCACGTTCTGGTTAAAAGTTCATAGTTTGAACTCTGCAGATCAGAAAGTGCTAAGTTCCTAATAGGCTGGGAACAAGACTCGGTTCAGGGCTATGCATATGGTCACCTGTAGTAAATTAAAAGTACTAGCAAAATGTCAGGCAGCGGACAAACTCACTCTTCCTTCCTAACAGGTTTCAATTTTGCAATGCTATATTAGCAGTGATGGCGAACCTTTTTCGGCACCGAGTGCCCAAACCAAAACATACATGTGCATGTGCACCCGAAGACCAGTTGGCCGGTGCATGCATGCCTGTTTTTTGGCCATTTGGGGGGCCATTTTCAGGAAACCAAGCGACACATTGCCAGCACTTTCCATGTCAAGTCTCATTTTCAGTAAATAGCTCCTAAAAAGCCTACTCTAGTTACCAAAAAGACAACCTGGAATGAAAAACATTTCACAAAGCAAAGCATACACAAGAAAACGAAAGTCTTGTGTAACCTCAAGCGTCTCAGTCTTGTCAAATTACGGTTGCCAAGGCTACATGAAGGAAATCCCAAAGATGACTCTCCTATCAATATGTGGTTGTGAGATACATT